ACGTTAATTAACATCCTGGGCTCACTGTTCCTTCACGGCTCTGATAAGTGTATGGAAACCCAAGAGGAATCAGTAGGTGAGTTCACAATTTCTCTTCTTTCAGCACCTGCTGGGTCTTGGCCTTGGCTGCAGGTGGTTGGGTCGAGCTGTTTTAGGGCACCCCACCAGGTACGGGAGCACCGGGATGTAGGAAACGCACCCAGAGGTTTCCTGAGACATGGGGTGATGGTGGCACTGCCCTGGTGTGGGGCGCTCACTGCGTGCCAGCCCCGTGTGTGTGCCTGGGCTGCTGGGACACTCACGAGGATGATTTCCGTTTTGCTGCTTTTCTGAAATTTTTGGGTAATAAACAAAAGTGGGTCAGGGAGGGGAAGTGTTGGAGCTCGGGGCTTAGTCATTGTTTAACAAAAGAATCGATTGTGGGATGTAGCCTAGAAACTATTTTTAAACGGCAGGGCTTACACAGGCATGACCCCCATTTTGCTGAGCTTAAAATACGTTAACCCAAACTAATAGCAGTGGATGTAAGAAATTAAAGACTGCAAAAAGCAGGAACCTCTACGCAGAGCATCAGAAGGGGCTGTGCCGGGAGCCAAAGGGTGCCGTGGTCCTGGGGCCAGCAAAACGCTGCTCATGTCCAAGAGCCAAGCAGAGCAAGCTCTGGACTGATTTTTTGGGGTTTTAACTGAATTGCTCAATACTGAGTAAGAAACCAGCACTTCCGAAGCATTCTTGGCCTCTCAGTGTGCCGCTCGCCATGCCCCAGCCTTGCACGTTGGGTGCGTGCCCCTCATCTGCTGCGGCCACGCAGGGCAGGCAGGAACATGGGGGGAAAGGGAATGGGAACGGGGCAATGGGCAGCCAACGGGCAGAGCAGGCAGCCGATCCAAGGGCCGATGAGAAGGAAGCCCATCTTCAACCAGATTCTGTGTTTGTTTTTGTTGTTGCTTTAACCGAAGTGGCTGGAGCACAGTAATTAAAGGCTCAGTGGCTCTAATTGGAATAGGTTTAAACTCGAGGTCAAAATCCCTTCTGGCACTTCCTCTGCCTAATAACCATCAACAGAAATCAAACAAATCCAACTGGCTCCAGCCACTAATCTGCAACAAGCAAAGGTCGCGGCGGTGATAAGAGAGCGGAGCGACCGCAAACAGCACTACTTAAAAACATATGCTGGGACGTGCCGGAGCGCGGAGCTAGGAGCAGCACAGCCCCGTGCGGGCAGCAGGACGGTGTGATGCCCACGAGCAGTGTCAGGGGACGCAGGGGACAGAGCCAGGACCGGGCACCTCGTGCCACAACAAGCAGTGTTGGTGCAGCACAGGGGATGGGGCAGGTGGGCAGGCAGCTCTGCACAGCACAGGAGTATCACCCAAATTCGTGTTTCCTTTGCACAGACAAAACAGCTGGGGCCGTGATGGGGTTGGAGGAAGAGCGCTTGCACACAAGTGTTGGTTTTGGGGCGCCGTGCGCGGCTCAAGGCTGAGCCCCAGCCCACCCACAGCCACTGCTTCCTACCCACGGCCGGAGGTCACTGCCCTGCCAGGTCGCCACTTTAACTGCTCGCCTAATTATGGCCTCATCTGGACCTTTAAAGTGCTCTGGGAGGAGGTAAAGAACAGGAGAAGAAAGGAAAGGGGTTGCAGATGTGCGGGGCGGCCGGGGGCCATCGCAGCATCCTCCTGCCCTGGGATGCTCGGCTGTGCACCGCGGGGCCGGGATGCGGCTGGGTGCAGGCTGGGCTTTGTAACCCTGGCGTTGCAGAGGAGAGGGGAGCTGCCACTGCCCAGAAACCTAAAGGTTGGTTCAAGCCTGCAGGTGCAGCCAGTAACGCAAGGGATAACACAGAGCTTGGCTTTGACAGGACGATGGTTTAAAGCTCCCAAATGAAAAGCAAACCCAAAACACGTCCTGAAGCTGCTGCGGGTGCCCCTGGGCGTGCTTGGAGCAGAGGCAGGAGGGCAGGGGACAGCTCTGCCCATCCCCGCGGCTCCCCTCCTCCTCCCAGCATTTTGGGGACCAGCTGAGGCAGCTCAATGTGACAGTAACGGTGCCACTCTGCAGAGGGCACGGCCAGCGGGGCCCTTCCACCACGAAACTTGCCTCTGGAAGTTCTGCAAATGCCGAGAGGAGAGACGCAATTAGGAGAGGCTTTTTGGAGAGGCAGTGCTTCTATTAAGCAAGCACTCTGTTTATGTCCCCACTAATTGAGGTAAATTGCTTTCTGCAATCAAATTGGGAAGTTCCCCTTCCGATCATGATGTGAGCTGTGCTTTAGTTCATGATTTCCAGTATTTAGTCTGCTTTTAGTGTTCTTCCCCTAATTAATTTCATGTATTCAGCCGGTCTCTGTGAGCCTGCAGGGCTGTTGTTTGCAGGGCTCTGCAGCTCTTTGGAGCACCCCACAGGACGGAGGCAGGAGGGCTTTCTTTGTCTCTCTTTCCGCATCCCCCAGCCTCCTGCATCACCTGGGTGGAGCTGGGGGCGCCTGGGGACCGGCGTCACTGTCCCAGGCAGGCAGGAGTCCCTTCTGTGTGCTGTGGTGGCAGTTTTCCCTCTCAGTGATCTTACGGCCAGTTCTCACCGTCACACACCGCCAGGAGGGAGGCTGCTGGCCATAACGCCAGTGCCATCTCCCCCATGCCAGCGGCCTCGACGGCTGCTTGCAGCGCACAGAATTGCTGCTATTCCCACTTTTTTTTCCTTCTTTCCATTCTGTAGAGTGCTGTGATGTTGTCACAAGCGTTTTGCAAGAGCTGTTTTGGAAAATAAGGCCTTATCTACAAGCGAAGATGCACCATTTTAATGTAACCGGCAACTCCCCGTGTTTCGGCTTCATGGTGTTTTACTTTGGTAAAGTTTAAATCCTTCTTGAATTGACATAAAACATCAAGGAAATGAGCACTCTTGAACCGAAATAAGGGATGCCCAGCAGACTGCCCAGCAGCATGGCACAGCCAGCTCCCTGTGCTGGTGCCACCCTTGGGTGCTGATCCCTGGTGAGGACCTGCCCAGGGTGCTCGGCCCTTTGGGGACAGCCCTGGCAGGTGGTGGTGCCCTGACCCAAACCCCACAGCTGCAGCGGGGCTGCTGTGGGGCTGCAGCCCCCAGGCGGGGCCGTTTGCTGCCAGCCCAGCTCCACGCCGCACCAGCAGGAGCAGAGCAGCACAGTTCGGCCCCGTGTTTTCAAAGTCTGAAGCCGAATGCATCCCTGGGACCGTCCCGCTGCAGGCACCGGTGCTGCACAGGCTCGTCCCAGGTTTCTGCTTTTGCTCGTGGGTTTGGGTGGCTCGCGGTGACATGAGTTACTGCCTCTGTGGCCAATAGTCGGGGAAGAGGAGCCAGTCGTATTCCGGCCTGCAACGGTTTTGTGCTGTGATGACATGATCAAAACATTAAGGATCCTGCTTCTCGGGGAAACGCAGGAATCCGAAACATCTGGTAAGTTTGTTAGTGCTTGTGTTGCCTTCCTTCGTGCCTTTGTTCAGCCCTTCCAATTACTGCTTCTAAGTATAAACTTAAAACAGAGATGAGGCTGGGTTTGTGGGGAGCATATGGACAAATGGAAAATAAACAGCATGAGGAATTCTTGGTTAATGAGCTCTTGGATGATAAGATACCACCAAAAAAAAAAAAAAAAGAAAAAAAAAGGCAGAGGTCTCAGCTTCATCCCTGTCGTATCATGAGAAGAGAACCTCGCCAACACCCACCGGCACTCTGAGGCTGGGCTGGAGCACATCGGTCTCAGGGTGTGCCCGGACCCCAGGCGGTGGAGGCTATGAGGATATGAGGATATGAGGATAGCATCGTTGTCTGCACTGGGCCAGTGCCTGATGGCTTACGAGAGCCTCGCAGGGCTCACATCTTGACTCAGGCCACGGCAACGACCTTCAGCTGCTGGCTCTGCTGGTCCGGGGCCTCCCAGTCCACGGCAGAACCGGAGCTGAGAAGACAGAGGTGTCAGTGTCTCTGCATCCCAACTCCAACAATGCCGAGCGTTAAATTCCCACTGGAATCAGTAGATGAATAAGTGGTTTGGTATCTCCACGTGAGAGAGGCTGGAAGTCTTCACCTACAGTATTTTTCTCAAAACCCGAGGTGCTTTGAGAGATGAAATAGGCTGTGCTCCCCCCTCTGTGACCACAGCTGCGCCACCAGCACCTCACCGGGGCTCAGGACGAGCTCCCCGGCACCTCCACCACGAGGGCACGGTGCTGTCAGCAGGAGGCTGTTGGGGTTTTATAGATTAACACCAAAACCCAGCGGGATTTCTCCCTCTGCTGTGGGCAGCACACCATCCCCAAGCCAGTCCCACCAGCGGCACAGGCCCCGCGCGGGGTCTCCGCAGGCAGCACGTGCTCCCCTCGGGCCCCTCTCGGTGTGCATGATATTAATTACCCCAGCTGAACAACAGGAACCCGGTCCTTCCTCCTCGAGTTCAAGGTTCCTGTCTCTCCTTCTTCCTGACAGAAGAATGGATGTTTCCTCACGCTCGAGGGAGCAGCCACCCTCCGAGCTTTGCTGCGTGGCTGCGGCGAGGCTGCTGCCCGCGTTATTCCTGGCGCAGGGCTGCTGGTCAGCAGCGTGCGCCTCGCACACCCCGCGTGTCCGTCTGAGCCACGTGGCAAGGTGTCCATCCCTACGTGCTTCGGCTGCCCAGAGCTCATCCTAAGTGCTCCTAACCCCCTCCTGCGTTTCCCTGATGGGAAACGGGCAGCAGGGGCTGGTCGGGGCCATCCTGAGCTTACCTGAGCCAGAGCAGCCGCTGGGCACGGGCAGCCTTACGCCGTTTCCTTCCAGAAGCAGCAGGAGCGCAGCGGTGCCAATGCAGCTATCGCTTCCTCTCCCTGCCCAAAACGCTGCTTAGGCATTAAACCTTGCTGCCCAGCACTAGGTGACAGGTTTGGGTCCGGCTTGGAAACAGTTAGTTAAGAATCAAAGAAGCGAGCGCATTGTTTTTTACCACTTTATGCTTTTTCCAGGGGAAATTGGGATTCTTTAATTGGCTCGGTTGGAGAAAAAAAACCCAGATCAAACAGCCAGTGAGCTGGAACAACAAAGGAATGTCCTGGCATTTCTTTTTCCAAGTTTAGAAATGGAAGTCAGGGCAGCCTTGGGATTTGTGGAAATTCCTCTGTGCATTGTTACGAGGTGGAGGAAGTGGTTTCGAGTGCAGCTACTGGTTTTGGCGCTGGGAGCGGGGCTGGTTTCCACCGGGGGAGCCGATGCTGCTGCCCACGCCGGGTGCCCCTGGCCGTGGTGGTGCCGGTGCCGCTGGTGTCGGACACAACGCCGCGGACGTTCCCCTGCTGACCCTGCTCACGGGGCCGACACCTCGCACGGGTGTCATGGGGAGCCCCGGCCCCCCGCCCCCTTCCAGGGCTTTTTTTGATGGCACGAGGCCTAGGAAAATAAGTGGAAACATTTTTCCGTTCCTGCTGGTATTTCTTTCTTGCAGCTGCTTGGCACAGTTGGAGCTGGAGCGGGGTGTTTGCAGTGCACTATCAGCTTCTCAGAGAGCCGTTCCCATTTCCATGCGGAGCTGTTCCTGTGGCCCTGTGATATAGATCACGCTTTTAAACTGTTACTGCTGGTTTTCAAATGCCAGAGGGTCATTAGTAACAAAACGCCTCCCGTTCCCCCCAGGTAGGCTATAAATACATTGAGAGGGGAGACGAGAGGGATCCTGCCTTAACACACGCACGCTGTTTGTTTTTTGTGTTGCAATATAGGGGTTTTGTTGTATTTTTTTTTTTCCTTTGGCAAGCATGGCAGTGTGGCTGGAGGATGAGCCCTGCTCCCTGCTGCCTGGAGCTGGGCAGGAGCCGAGCGGGGCTGGGAGGCAGGAAACGGGCTGGGACTGGGGCTGGGACTGGGAATGGGGCTGGGACTGGGACTGGGACTGGCACTGGGATGCACGTGCCATGCTGCAGGAGGCAGGAGGCCCGTTGGCTCCTGCCAGCACCCGGCCCTCTCCAGAAAGCCCTCGTGGCTCGGCGGAGGCCGGATGAGCTGTGCTGTGCCCCAGGAGCTCAGACCCTGCCCCGCTGCAGGCTCCTGCTGCGGCAGGCTGTGTGTGGGCCCTGGGATTTGGGATTTAAGCACCTTGCGCGGTGAGCCCTGCGGGAGGGAGCTGTGGAGGGACAGAGCCAGCACTGCTCAAAGGTGCTGTGGGAGCAGCAAGCGCCGCCCACAGCGATGTGTTCCTCCGTGCCAGCTCAGAAACAGTGGATGGTTTTTAAGTGGGCATTTATTTTTTCCATACTTGACTGCTTTTTGTTCTAATGTTTTAATGCAGCTTCTTCCTGCAGCCGCCGAAGCGCTCTGGAAGTTAATATAAAACAGTATTACATTTTTGTGTGTTTTGGGTTTTTTGTCTAAGCTTTTATTAGGCTTGTCATGCAAGTCATCACGCAAAAATGTAAAAGAAAATATTATGTGTGTGTGTGTGTGTTCGTACTGGCGACCAAGCCCAGGCCCCATCAATACACCATGCAGGGAATTGTTCTCTGGGTTCCAGGGAAATTCAGTCCTGCCTGAGGAAGCCCTCGGGGCAGCGAGTGGTACCGATTGCTTTTATTTGTTCTCTCCGATGGGATGTCACCCTCGTGTCCCCGAGCACACCGCACGCCCTCTGATGTTAAGGTACTGAAGCAGGGCTGGGTCGGGTGCTGTGTGAGAGGGGCTTGAGGACAACAAGAAAATCAGCCACTTTGAGAATGTGCAGATTTGCGAGCGTAAATTGAAGAAAGCCTTCAAATGATTTTTTTTTCTTAGACTCGGTTCAGTCCCTTGGCACCCCAGCGGGCAGGAATTCTGTCACTGGGTACTCTGGAGCTCACATTTCTTTCATTCCACTTCTTTCCTGCAGAAACCATCTTTGTTTGGCAATGAGGGGAGAACGCGAGGTGAACCGAAATGCTACAGGGAAGGTCTGGCTGGAGGGTGCATCCCTGGCTGGTTGGTTCTTGTTCAGGTGCTGCACCTCAGCAGGGAGAGAAAGGAAAAATGCGAATAATTCTGCTACCTGAGGGGCTACGCAAGAACTGAGAAGTCAGAGAGTTAGTGGCTTAATTCAGGGGAAAGGAAAGGGATCTGGAGAGCCAAGGAAGCAGGTGCACGTGTATGTGCAGGGCAGGGAAGCACCACGGGATGGGGGCTCGAGAGCTGCAGCAAAAGGCTGCCGAGACCCCGGGCTGGAGGAGCTCTGCCAGCACCAGCGAAGGGCAGCACAGCCCCGGGGAGCACGTGCTGAGCTGGAGGGGGGGAAACAGCATAAATGTGTGTGCTGTTCGTAAGGAAAAGCATCCTCTGTGTTCTTCAAAAGTGGAAATGAAAAAAAGAGGAATAGCTAAAATACAGTGTGAATTGTATCAAAGTGACATCTCCCTTCCTATCTACCCTGCATCTGACTTCTCCACTGCAGTTTGGAGTCTGATGTTTTCTCGTTAAACCCAGAAGTCCCTTTTAATGAGTATTGTGCCCGGGGCTCCGCGGCACGGCGGGGCCGGGGGCTGCTGCTGTGGGGGCTGCCGAGGCTTGTTCTGCACTTAGTGTGAGCATGGAATTATAACACTTATGGTTATCCCGGGGTTTTTAACTCCCTTGTTTCTTCCAGACTCTGTAATTTTGGGGGTAGCCTTTTTGTTGTAGCGTAATCATTATTATAATAATTTTATTTCCAGTGCTCGTGGCATGGAAACCAAGAAATCCGGAGGGAGCAGGGAAAGCGTTTTCTGAACTGACAGAACGAATCATGTGGATCGAGCAGGAATTTAAGTAGAGGTGAGCTGTTGAGAGCAGCCAGCACGGAGAGCTCCCAGTCCCTGTAACTCCTCCAGGCTGAAGAAGCAGCCGTCGCCTGCTCTGCCGTGCCTGCCCACCTCCAGAAACCACGCAGCGGGCCAGTGGCCAGCGGCGCTTCCCCAGGAAAAAGTCAGCGAGGGACTTTTGAGAGCAAAAACACAGGAGCTGATCTCCCCTGAGCTTTCAGGAGTGCTCGAGGCTGTCACATCAGAGCTCTTGAACACCGCTCTCCCAAAGCCTGGGTGCTGTGCGCTAGTATCAAACCCCATTTTAGAGCACCTTACACTTTTTATTCTTATTTTTTTGTCTCTACACACAGTGCTGGTGCTGGAAGTCCCTAAATACACAGACTGTGCTTCACCACCGCTGTGAGTGCAGCCTGGGTGAGATGCTCAAGGCTGGCCCTAGGTTGGAGCAAGCCTGGGTGGCTCCCCTTGAATCCAGCTGAACTTCGAAACCATCCGAGCGTCTGTGCTGGGCGAGGCGCTCACACGGACACCAGCGAAGCTTGCCCTTCCTGCCAGTGGGAACCTGGTTTTCATTTGTGGATTCCAGCTCTTTTCAGGCAGAAACTGTAAACCATGAGCTGAGTTTCAGCCAGGAAGCATGGGCTGAGCATCCTTCCCTCGGCCTCAAGGAAGCTTTTGCACAGGCTGTGCCGGACCAAAGGGGATGGTCCCTGCTTGGGGCAGTAAGCAGGTGCCCTGTCGCTGTCCTACAAGTCCCACCTGCAACCTGGAGGGGAAATCCTGGCCCTCCTGTTGCAGCGTGGGCAGTGCTGGCATGTACAGAGGCGAGATGTGGCACTTGGCTTCCCAACGCCCCTGGCACTGAGAGGTTAAAGTGGCTGGGGCTTAAAAAAATACGTGCAAGAAAGAAAATCCTCATTTGCCGAAGAGAGAAAAGAAGGAGGAGGGGGGGGGGAAGTTGTTTGTTAATAATAAAGAATGAGCTTCTACAAAGACCTCGTGTCCAAAGCTCTTTAACTTTTCCTGGCATTTCCCATCCATTCCATTGTTAAGCCCTCCGCTGTCGGAGAGCAGCGCCGGGCCCGGGCTCTCGGTGATCTCATCGCCAAGGCTCGTGCAGGCGCCTCTGTTTACGCGCCGCGCAGCATTTGCTCCTCAGATTTGGTTTCCTACTTTGAAGGAAAAAAAAAAAAAAAAAAATTCTTTCATTTGTGCAGCGGGCTCCCCCCGCCCCGGGCGCTGGGGCTGTGAGGAAAATAGCACCTCGGTGGTTTTCAGGGAGAGGGTGGCCCACAGCGGATTCCCACAATTTATAAGAGGAGACAGGAAGGCCTCGGTGACTCACAAACACCAACAGATTCTGTGTATGAGTTTCTCTTTGTTGTTTGTTATCCTTAATTTCATGGTTTTCCTTCTTTTGAGCGTGTTTGTGTGTTTTAGGCGATGCCATCGCTGTGTCAGGACGCTGTGTGTGTGGTTCCCACAGCGGAGCAGCTCAGCCAAGCACCGAGAGCCGCCAGCGGGAGCCCTTCGGGGCCTTGCCCCATGCCACATCCTGACACACTGATCGTGGGGCAGGGGCAAGGAGCGAGGGGGACGTTTCTGTGGCCTTTGTCAGCCCTGGCTTTGCAGGGGGGGTCCAGGACCTGGCCAACGGGAGCAGCCCTAATAGCGGGCGGGCACCGCTCCGCAGCGCCCTGGGCTCCAGCTCCCCGTCCGAGCAGCTCCAGGCTTGGGCACCCATGGAGAAGGTTTCATCCTGCTGGGAAGCCAACTGCGTCACAAGGCATGGCAAAGCCCCTTTTCAGACATTTTTAGAGGCGTTTCACCTACGGAAGGCTTTATTTCAGCAGGCAGCCTGGCTGGCAGCTGTCGCACCGCCGAGCCGCAGCCGCCGAGTGGCTGCGTGCCGGGAGCGGCTGTCAGCTGCGGGTGCATCTCCGTGCAAGAGGTGGTCTGAAAGAGCCTTTCATGCTCTCCTCTGGACTTGGGGACAATAACGGAGCAGCTGTTTAAATAGGCCTGAAATTTCGGAAACACACAGGCAAGCACTAAACTTTCCCAAGGTGGCTGAGTAATCTTGTTTGCTTTAGCATTTTAGTCCCCCCAATTACCCAAGTGAAGGATATTGCCTCTTTAAACAGAGTTCAAAAAGCCCAAGAATTTTTTATAAATAGCTCACATCCTCTTGATAACAACCAGGCTGCTATTTATTGCCCACTTCCCCTCAGACAGACAGGTCAGAGTATTTAAAATCGCACTTCCCATGAAATCCAGAGGAACTTGGTTTTCCAGGTTCCTACAATTGTTTGTCATTCTGGGTTTCCTCTGCAGTTTACAACATTCAGCCAGCCTAACCCTGAAAGGAGCTGGCCAAGGGACTGTTAAGGTATATTGCTGCTTAGCTGGAGTCCCAATACACATTTTCCGCTTATTTCTTTGGGACCGAATGACAAGCCCATCACTTCCTGGCACCATGGGGTCTCTCCAATCCATTTTTTTTTCTAAATCCCAGGACCCCACTGAGTGCTCTCTGTCCCCATTTCACATCCCCACCTCCTGCTCTCTCAGAAGCCACGTGGCCAAAGCCCTCTCTCCTGGCTTGGGCAGGTGGGCACGCAGAAGCTGCCACTTTTGTCAATTTTGGGCATCTCTGACGGGACAGATCTCTGCTTAGCTGGGGCTGGCTGCTTGCAGCACCTTGCCTTTCAGACAGAGCATTTAAGCTCTTGCAGAAGATGAAGCTTGGTAAAAACACATTCCTATCTCCCTCTATCTAGGTGTAATTAAAAGTAAATTACGCTGCCCCGCTCCCTCTGCGGCCGGTGGGGTGAAATCCTGGCTGTGCCACTCCAAAACCTCGGGGAGCTCCGCTTCTGTTTTCCAGGCCGAAGGCACAGAGGGTGAAAGCTCTGGGCTGGGAGCCTGGCCTCCCTCAGCCCCACGCTGCAGCACGCAGCTGCTGCTGGCTGACCACCAGCTGCGGGCGTCTTCACACCAGGGAGACCCAAAGGCTGTTGTTGTTGTTGTTTTTTTTTTTTTTTTTTTTTTTTTTTTTTTTTTTTAATTTTACCAAGACTGTCTCCTCCACCATGACTTTCTCAGCTCGCTGTTTATTTTTCAGCTTGCACCCAGCTTGAGCACAGACTCCCCGAGCCCCCCACTTTGCAGCCAAGGTGTCCCCACGAGGCTCTCCCCGCACCGGCTCCATCCTTCCCTGCAGGCAGGGGCTGGATACAGCCGCAGGGGGGGCCGCAGGAGGGGGCGGTGGGGGCCTCTCCACCCGACACCCGGGGCTGTTGGCATCAGGAAGCAGAACAAAATGCAGAGGCAATTCATCGGGGCCATTTGTCCGCCGCTCACAAATTGCCGACCCTCGCAGGTGGGTGACCCCCTGCGTGCCCGTGGGACCCAGCTCCTGGCGGGGATGGTGCTGGCAGCTGGCTGAGTGCTCCAGCCCCAAATCTCGCTGCGTGGGCGCTGCCTCGAGCACAAAAATCGCTCGTTACTGGGAGATGCTGGCTCAGGAAGCGAGCCGGGGCCAGTGGTGTGTGCGTGCGTGGGAGCGGGTGCCCCGAGCGCTGCCCTCACAGCCCCTGCGCCTGCAAAGCCAGGCCTGAAAGCGAGCTCCTGTGTCAGCCATGCAGTTGTGCATGTGGAGCTGCTGCCTCTAAAACAATTATTATTATTATTTTTTAAAGGCAAACCACGCAGACCTTGAATCTCCTGCCTCATTTCCATGCAAACAGAGCAGGGATGCTCATTAGGGGAACTGCTCCGAATAATCCCGCTCTCATTCCGCATGGGCGTGCACCTGGGCACCTGCTGCTGCACACACGCACGGTGAGAAAATGCCTGTAGAACTGCAAAGGAATAAAATAAAATAAAATAAAATAAAATAAAATAAAATAAAATAAAATAAAATAAAATAAAATAAAATAAAATAAAATAAAATAAAATAAAACCCCGTACTGGAGGAAGGCTGCTCAGCACCAGGGCCACCTCTGGGAGCAGGAGGTGCTGGAGGGCCGGATCCTGCCCACTGCACAGGGGTGCAGGGCGGCCCCAGCCCGAGCCCCTGCCTGCTGCAGCTGCTGGTTTCCCTGTGTCACGCTGCTCCTATTATTCTTCTCCTTCTTGCAGAGGCTTACCACCACGGAAAAATGTGTCCCGCTCCCCGGCACAGCAACAGGCACCGTCGGCGCTTTGCTTAGCCTGCTGTGAGGAGTCGTGGCAAGGAGGGATGCGACCGGAGGATGGGGGAACTCGAGGATGGATGGCCCAAAGTCGCTTGGTTGTGTCCCCATCCCACCCTCCCACTGTCTGCAACACGGAGAAACCTCGCATGTCCTCAGGGCTTCTTAACCTTGGGGAAATCTCAGCCCATCTATTAAATGCATAGCTGAGTGAAGTATTTTTAAAGGAAATATCAAAATTAGCTTTTTATCTATTTTCTGGAAGTTTCTGCCCATTTTCTCAGAATAAGTGCATTGCTTAATAGGTGTTTTGGATGCATTGATTCACCAGAAATTCCCTTTTTGCTCAGGACTCCAACAGCTGTGGGTCCTCTTTGGCCCTGTCAGTGAACCACAGTCAGTGATTCCCAGCTCTGTGTCTCCCTGTGCCATCTCATAACCTGTGCTCATGGTGCTGGAATTGGTTTCCTTCAATTATGGAAAACTGATTTGGAAAAAAGGCGATGATTTTGACTGAAAAAGTATTAATTTTACATCCACCAGTCAAATCAACGAGACGGTGCTGGTCTGCTTCCAGCAGAGAGACCCGGACACTGGGGCGGTGTCTGTGAAGCTTTACGTGCAAGACCCCAACCAGTGCTGCCAAACCCAAGTTTACATTTACACATCCTGCCTAGGTCTTTTTTTTTAAAAATAAACCCCAAACCTAACCAACACAACAATATAACAAGTTCATCTTCTTTCCCCCATCGCAAACCTTTTGGCAGCAGGTGTCACGCTGCGTACGGTGCCGTTTTGGTGCCGTTTTGGTTTCTCTGTCTGATGCAGTGACTAACACAACCTCATTTTTCAATAACATTCTTCCAGGCCAGGTAACCCCCCCAGGTTACCTGTGTGGATGACACAAATCCTGGCGTTTCTTTCAGTGAGTCACAGGCTGAGCTCCACAGCTCCTGCAAATAACCAACAGGAACGCTAACAAAGTGGACCCTTTATTTTTAGCAGCCTGGCTTGCTGCTGGTGACACAGGAGGCGGCGTGGTGAGGGGCTCGAGAGCTGCGAAAAATCCATGCCCCTGAAAAGAAAGGGGGCCCGAGAGGAGTTTCTCTGTCCCGGAGACTCATACATGACTCCACTGTGAGTTT